TAATCATTTAACTCATGTTTAGATTACATACATATTGGAAGAGTAGGTGGAGAACCGATTGTCTTAAAGCTGTGGTCAGGTTATACTCTTGAGAGCTATGATGAACCTGATGTGCGGCCCATAACACATTGATTTCTATTACAAAGTGTTTGATAAGTGTTTATTCAATTATGTTTTCATTATACCGTATACGACTGCAAATAACCCCATGGCCAATCACCACTTTGTTTACAAATAAAATGGTTATTGGTTATTGAATTTTTTTAGAAAACGTTTTATACATTGACATTGGGTAGTTGTATTGGGTTATAAGTAGTTTTGTACAGCAAAGTGTAAAACTAAAAAGATTTTATACTCTACATGCACATAACCCCATGGGGGTTTTTGCAGTCATTTTCGGTATGATCTAAATTAATATAAAATAGAGAGTAAACTATAAATAAACTCGTAATCAATTGAGACTCGAGTCTTGTGTTTAGCTGAAGTACTCTTGAGATATACCGTAAAAAAGTTGTATTTTTGGCACAAATACTTCTTGTAAAATAGTAAACAGTTAACTGCTTTATATTTATGAGGACATAAATTATACTGTATATCACAATAAACTCTATTATTGATAATTAGTTTTCATTAATCCGTGAAATTAAACAATATGTTATAAAATAAATGACTCAAAAATAATGGTTTTAATTTGATAAAAGTTACCAGTTTAATAGAACATTGATACCAACTTGGCAATAAAATTTTTGTTGTTTATATTGTGTTTTAAGTTTATAGCTATTTGTTAACTTGTAAAATGGTTTTTAATATTTAAAATTAAAATGATGTTTAATTAAATTTTATTTGTTCAATAAATTTAATAAATTTAAACTTTTTTGCTGCAGCTTTTAAAAGACACAACAAATATGTGCTTGTAAATGTGTACGTCTTGGTTAACCCTCGTTATAGTTTTAATATACGAAAATAATAGTGATCAATAAGTTTTAGTTGCCTTTAGACTTGTATAAAGTATACTGTACTTTACTAAGTAGTTTGTTATCCTGGAAGACTCCCTGTCCGAGAGATGCGATCGAATCATTGATCCGAAGAATTGATTTTCCTTTCAGTAGACGAACGGCATTCTCAGCGATCGTAAGGCTCACGAAAATTGGAAACATCTGTGAGAAGAGAAAACAATTGATTTAATACTCAATTTGTTTGTCATGCCTTTATTTAACGTAAACTAACACTTCTCTAATCTTAAATGTCTAGCATTTATGTTATACGTGAGCTCCTCTATAATACTGTGTATATGAATATTATATATCTTTTGGAACTTAAATATTCTGTATAACTGTTATTAGGATTTAGAAATTTGCAGTTCATTGATTTCAAAAAAACCATTGAAATAAACATCAATTCTACTTTAAAAAGTAAAATAATTTCTATATTAATGGTAAACTATTTTGTATGATTCAATAAAAATTGAACAATATTTAAACCTAATTGTTGGTATAATTTGATAGATATATTAATAAATGTATAGAAATTAGTATTGAAAGCTTACCTCTTCTACATATCGGGGAACAACTTTGATGTCCGGATACATACATTCTGATGGAAGCACTAAATAAAAGATTTTTCTGCAATTGTCCAAAATATAAATTATTATTTGAACGGCTTGTGTTAGGTATTGGCCTAACATTACGAATAAATCAATTAATTATGAGAGCATTCAGAGTCACATCACACATGCATTCATTGAAAAGAGATCTCTTTCTCTCTAACTTTTCTCAACTGGAAATGGATTTATTTAGTTGTACTTCTTGTGCCACATATTCTCCACTTAATACAAGTTATGCCATAATATATTATATAATGTAATAGAAAGGCTCAGTTACCTCTGCGCGCATTTTCCCTCAAACTATACTAAAATAAGCTTTTTATGACTGGACTCCGGAGTATTGCAGTATTGCTGGTCAATGAATATCTTATATCCAACCAAATGCTAGAATAACTCATGACGTGATTTGCCCTCAATTTGAACCAAAATTTGGTCAAAAAAGGCCCAAAAGCAGCACATTATTTAACATATGAATTATTTGAGTATCAAATATATCGTAGTATATCATACTTTCCAAAACAAGTAGTTTTTAATATAAATACTATTTTTTCTAAAGAGTTTTCTTTGAAATTAAATTTCATATATTTGTGAATATAATTATGAAGACAATATGGGAATGTGTTAAACATTTCGGATATCTCTTCTATATTGTAGATCCAAAAGAGGCTTCATATGAAAACGTGGATTCAGTGCCCGATTATATAACACAAGTCATCCCATATTTTGTGACTCTTATACTTATTGAACAAATTATAACTTTCGTTAAAAGCTATCGTCTCATCCGAATCAATGATGCAATTGCTTCGCTCTCACAGGGAATTCTCATGGAATTGTCAAAGTATTGTGATCCAGGTCTTAGTTTTATAAGAAATTGTTATTTTGTTTTTTGTTTTACATTTTCAGAGCATTATTCAAAGGCTTAGCCTTAATGTCTTACATTTATATTTATCGAAATTGGAGGATATGTTCACTGAATTGGCAGAACACAAGCACATGGATTATAGCCTTTATTGCTGTTGATTTTGGCTTTTATTGGATTCACCGGTTCACTCATGGTAACTACTATTTAATTTAATATTCTTAAACTTATTACTAGTACTGTGTACTTTTAGTATAAATTTTTAAACAATGTCATTTCAAATAATAGTTCTAAATAACAAACTACTTAGTAAAGTACAGTATACTTTATACAAGTCTAAAGGCAACTAAAACTTATTGATCACTATTATTTTCGTATATTAAAACTATAACGAGGGTTAACCAAGACGTACACATTTACAAACACATATTTGTNATTTCAAATAATAGTTCTAAATAACAAACTACTTAGTAAAGTACAGTATACTTTATACAAGTCTAAAGGCAACTAAAACTTATTGATCACTATTATTTTCGTATATTAAAACTATAACGAGGGTTAACCAAGACGTACACATTTACAAACACATATTTGTTATGTCTTTTAAAAGCTGCAGCAAAAAAGTTTAAATTTATTAAATTTATTGAACAAATAAAATTTAATTAAACATCATTTTAATTTTAAATATTAAAAACCATTTTACAAGTTAACAAATAAACTTAAAACACAATATAAACAACAAAAATGTTATTGCCAAGTTGGTATCAATGTTCTATTAAACTGGTAACTTTTATCAAATTAAAACCATTATTTTTGAGTCATTTATTTTATAACATGTTGTTTAATTTCACGGATTAATGAAAACTAATTAACAATAATAGAGTTTATTGTGATATACAGTATAATTGATGTCCTCATAAATATAAAGCAGTTAACTGTTTACTATTTTACAAAAAGTATTTGTGCCAAAAATACTACTTTTTACGGTATATCTCAAGAGTACTTCAGCTAAACACAAGATTCGAGTCTCAATTGATTACGAGTTTATTTATAGTTTACTCTCTATTTTATATTAATTTAGATCATATAATGAAAACATAATTGAATAAACACTTATCAAACACTTTGTAATAGAAATAAACGTGTTATGGGCCGCACATCAGGTTCATCATAGCTCTCAAGAGTATAACCTGACCACAGCTTTAAGACAATCGGTTCTCCACCTACTCTTCCAATATGTATGTAATCTAAACATGAGTTAAATGATTATTAAATAAAAACATTTAGTGAACAATTGATTTATTTGGTGATAGATGTTCTATATGCCACTGGCAGTGGTCATACCCCCGACCACTTTCCTCGTTCACAATCAGTTCAATGTTCTCTACCAGTTCTGGATTCACACACAACTCATCCAAACAATAGGTCCCTTAGAGTACATATTGAATACTCCGAGTCATCATCGCGTACATCACGGTATGTGTTGACACCACTTGATCCCCATTTCCTTATTGTCCAATAAATCATTCAATTTTCTATAAATAGGACGAAACAAGTACTGTATTGACAAAAATTATGGAGGAGTTCTCATTATATGGGACCGACTTTTTGGCACTTTTCAAATGGAAAGGCATTACATTTCTTATGGCTTAACCAAGAACATCAATACTTTTAATCCATTCACTATTCAAATGCATCATTATTTTACTATTTTTCATAAGTTTAACAAAGTTAGAGGTTTTCGAAACAAAATCAACTGTTTGTTTGCCGGTCCGGCCTGGGATGTGGACGCACCCAATGACACCGATTTTCATGATTATGAAACACCTAATGAATCGGTTTATATGAAATATGATCCACCAGTTTCAGTCATTTATAAATTATATGTGTTAATACATTTTGCAATGATAGTCATAATTCACACAAACCTAATGCAATCAATTCATGTTTTACCGCATTATAGGGCTATTATTTGCTCGCTTTTTATTTGCCTTTCATTGACTTCATTTGGTTTTATAATGGATTGCAAGAAATGGTCCAAATATTTTGAAATGTTTAGATGTTTTGCTTTTTTACTCATTGAAAGTAAATTATTTAATGTTTTAGTGAATGAAAAGAATTA